CAAATCTGTTATGTACATTATTGCACGAATGTGAATTATACAAAAACTAAATATATTTTAAAAATAAAATTGTTATAATCACAATCTTTTAATTAGGACATTTTCTTTTAGACTGTCTTTCATTTTTTCTGTACTAGAATAAGTTTATTTAACGCGTTTCCTATTAACTTATCTGATTCAAAAGTTATTGTATCTTGATTTAAGAGAGAAAAGCGATCTTTGATCAAAAGTAAAGCGATTATTTACATTTTTTAATTTAACCAGATTAAAGCAAGTTTTTCGGTCGCTTTGCTCGCGGCATTAAATGCATTCTTAGTTTATCCAGTCGCTACACGCATTTAGTCACGCGCGTGCGTGTCACGAGGGTGGTCGAGGGCTCGAATGACAAGAGGGGGGAGGGAGGCAGGTCGAGGGTTGATAAGGGGGATAGCTATGTCAGCGGCTAACCGAACAACTATCGTGCGAAGGCACGACGAGGAGAAGAGGAAGGAAGCGGAGGGTGATCGACCGAACGCGCGGATAAAGCATAAACGAGAGAACGAGACGGAGAGAAAAGGAAGGAGACAGAGACGGAGATGGCAACAGGAAGAGTATGCACCAACCGGTAGCTTACGATGCACTTTCTGGCATTCTGTGTACGCGCGCGCGCTCATACGTTGAGTATAAACGATGTATTTGCAGCTTATCGCGCCGGAGGGTAAATAAAGCGATATTGAATCTGAAATGCGCCCCCCACCCTCCCGCCCTCGAGACGAACCCTGTTACTAAATCCTAGTTTAATCCTTTTGACTCCGAGTACTTATTTGTTTAAAAAAATCTGAAGTTAACAAACGTTTTTTTGTATCATTTATAAACGACAATTGAAACTAGCACAACTTGAGTATAATTTTGCGTGCGTATGAATGCAATGCAATGCATTGGTAATAATAAAAGCAATAAAACACACATTAGTAACACTATGGTACGTTTTAATTAATTAAATTTAATTAAGCCGTATTTAATTAATTATCGCCGATATATACGTGCGGCATATGTGAATGTCATAATTATTTTTAGAAATTTATTTTAAATGCATGTACTATCTATTATAATTGTAAAAGTTAAAATTAAAAATTCTAATTTAAATTTTGTAAATTATTTTCAAAATGCAAAAACATTTTAATGACAAATTTAAATCTTAAAGATTTAACCTCAAGTATTAATTTCAAGCTTTAAAAGCATTGAAAACATGTGTTACTATAATAAATAACATTTTTATTTTTATACAGTATACACACCTACATTTTTTTACCTGAAAAGTGCTATTAAATTTGATTAATTGTCAACAATTTCGCAACTATTATAAAACGAATCTACACCGAAATCAATCTTGATATCCGTCGTTATAATCAGCATCTTTATCGACAATGCGTGACTTTTAAATTATACAATTGTCACATGTTACATTCTACTGATTATCTATTTATTATGTCCTTTTCTCTACTAATAATTTTAACGGAGAGCTTGAGTGTTTGTGAATCGCGCGATGTTATTTATTCGTAGCAAGATAAAGAAAACCGCACTTGATAATTGGCCATCGAAAAGCAGGAAATTGTGGTTATGCCCGAATATCGCAGCTAAATATCATCCGAGTCGTGTGAAATGGCAAGACGTTCCACGTTATTCATTCAATATTGCGCAGTTATTCATTATAAAAGTAAAAAATAAAATATATAATTAAGTTAATAGAGTGGATGGAATATGTAATATAAATTTATATTCGTACATTACTTCTACAGTTTATATTATAATTACAATTGTGTAATTATAATATAAACTGTGGAAGTAATGTACGAATAGAAAGAATGTAAAGCAAGAGCTAAAAATATAGGTATAATTTGCAAGTTATTATTAGTTAATTAGTATTGTATTTATATTATAATATTAACTATTAACAATAATTTTTATTCAATTCCAAAACACCATTAAAATATGTAAAACTCTAAATTGAATTTTAAATCGATAGTATACACAACACATATCTGTTTATAATAAAAACTCAATCAGTACTATTTTGATATTAAAACAATTTTTGTCAATTTTATTTTGATTAATTATAACATTTTATTTGCTTTTATATTATATATAATTCGTAATACAACTATTTTTTATTAAGAATTTTATATACAGGTACTATAATGTCGAAGTAATCTGCAACATTTCAAAGATCTTTGATCGTTGAACGCTCGATTTAGATTCGCGGAAGTAACAATCACAGGGCAACAAAAATAGCCGGCGCATATAAAATTTATGCCGCACCCTGCGAGTCAGATCGGGTTTATTTATCGAGCAATGTAGAGAAACTCAGCGACATGAGATCGAAATAAATTTGCTTAATAAGTAGTGCTATATATTTTGTTTCACATCAATATATCGAAAAAGAGAACAAACGGTGTTTCAAATGTATCGAGAAAGATGAGAAACCACGCTTTCAACGGTATCTAGAAACAAATTTCTCGCGCGAAAATTTTAAATTACAAATTTTCTGTGTTAATTACATTATTAATAAAAGTTAGTATACCTATCATTGTTATATGCGGAGAGATATGTTCCATATTAATTATAAAGTAACATTTATTTAATTAATTACCCTTTTACACCTTAAATGCAAATTCTAAGTAATTTGAAGAATACGTATGTAATTAGGATAATTTCTAACAATCAATTAATATTTATAACACAATTAAAAAATAAACCCGGTTTTTGATGTATATCTTTTTTTAAAACAACTGTATGTATCTGTCGCGATAATCGCACGATATGTATTACTGTCGGCAATGTATTACTGTATTCGTGTATACTGATAAGAATCCGGTTCATCGTCTTCTCTCGATGCACGCCCGCGTGTATAACCGATGCATCTTGGATGTATTACCATGTGAACATTTATCCACTCGATACATCATTGTAACGCGATGGGAATGACATGTTACTTTTTATCAATCAACTTAAATCAGTTGTTATAAAATTTTAGTTTTATCCGTTGTTTGCTATTATTACCAAAAAAAAGAAGCCATAAATTTAATATACAGAATTGCATAATACAACTATATATGTCATTCTTACGACGTTTATTTATAGAGTTAACCTTGTAAATCCGTTTTCCTTAAAATTTTCTATGCAATTCTTGAGATAAATTCATCCACCTGCTATATTTGTACTAGGATTCTATCCCAATCTATTTATTTAATCTTATTGCAGAAGGTAGCAGATTAGTATCGAACATTTATTTAACTTTAAATAATTTACTTTTCAGTAATAAATTGAAATCATTTTGCTATATTTCATATAAATCATCTTGTTATACTTTATTTATAGAAATATATGTTCTAATAATAATTTTATAACTTTTTTCGAAATAAACCGTTTATATAACGCTACGATTTTAACTTTGTAATTTAAATTTTGACCTGTTTTATATTTTTATTTAATAATTATTGTTAAAAATTGCAATCTTTAGTTTAGAAAAATCAAATAACTTTACATAAATAAAAAATTAATTGCCCAATATAGAATATATCATGCTAATAAATATTAAATTCTTTTACTATCAATGATATAATAAAATGATCCTATAATTATATATATGTATTAATTATAATGATATAAAAATACTATAATTGTTACGAGTTATGCACGTGTCTTTTACCAATTTATCAATATTTAAATTTTTAAAAAAGCTCATAGACGATATAAAGGAATATGAGACTTTATTTGGGTCTAGGACTACCATCTCGATCATGGTTTCCGACCGGCTTCGCCCGATAGGCTTTATCCGTCCACCCACGAGGTATCTTCCGTCTCTCGTTTCGTCTTGACGGCCTTGTCTATTAATATCACAACCGTCTTCGAGAATAGGCTTCGGACAGCGGCGGTTTAACGCACCGAAGACAGTTCGTGGTTCGCTCCGATAAAGTGCAGCGATGACTCGCCGCGAGGAGGAGAGACGGTTTCTGATAAGGGGTCGTGCACCCCGGGTTGGCACGCGTAGCGTCTTGCTGCAATCGGTATACAATATATGCTGCCTTCGTCATCCGCTGACGTTTCTTTCATTTTTCCGTGCGAAACAATTGATCTCTCGCATCATTTGTGCACGGTACGTTACGCAACTTGCTACTAAGAAGTAATAACTCTCTCATGTACTCATTATTTACTTGGTAAACCTTTAAAGGCTACAAGATAATGCAATATTATTATATTACAACTTTCTAAGTGAATTAGATTTAGTTGATTTTTTTGAAAAATGACATCCAGATTGCTTTTAAGTTATTTTAAAATAAATAAAACTACAATACTTTTGTGTCAAATAATCGTGTTAGATAAATGCATTTTTATCCTGCACTTTTATTCACGTTGCATCATTCGTTTATATAATTGCTTTATTATCTGCGTCGAGTAAATATCAGGCATCGGTTCGAGCGTATGTCGTGTCCCCGCGTGATAGTCCTTCGAACAAAGAAGCTTTTTAAAGAGTTCGTGTGACGCCGAACTATCCACTATTCCGCGCTGATCCCACAGAACTATGTATATCGCGCAAAACTTGTCCGCACTTGTTACTGACCCCGTGCGAATGTGAGAATTGTACAAAATAATACACGCCCAATACACAAATACTAATTTAGATTGTTTTAAGATTTGATTAAGTTTCTCGACTATATTAGGCGATAATGATGCAATTAGCTTTTTACGTATTACTTATTAATTTTCTCATAAACGGTCATAATCTTGTACTATAGATGCCATGGCACTTAAGGTGCAAAATTAATTTTTGTATACAAAATCCGAGAATGAGACACGATGCTGGATGTGAATCGTATATACTTTTCTAACACGAGAATAATGCGTGGAAATATAAAGCTCTCTACGTCTTCCCACTTGGAGAATCCCGCCGAGTGACAAGAGAGCGATTCGTCTCCTCTGAAAGAAGGTGACGAAAGGTTGGAGTAGTCGAAAGCACTCACCATCTCTTGACATGCCGAGGCGTAGGCACTTTTGCAACCGACAGTACTGGCACCGGTTTCTGTTTACACGGTCGACCACACAATTCTTGTTCCGCGGACATTGATAGTTGACGACCGACGACTGCGACCGCCTGAAGAAGCCCTTGCAGCCCTCGCAGGTGATCACGCCGTAATGCACGCCGCTGCTCTTGTCCCCGCATACCTTGCACGGGATTATCTCGATCTGGGCTGCAACCATAAAAGAAACAAACATCTCAATTATGAGCCCCTATCAAGGATGTATCGCGAAATCTTCCCTCGCTTTATAACCCCCTTTTACTTTTATTTCCAGTACTTCATCGAGGCTTCAGGGCTCATTCGTACACATGTACACCTTGATGTGCACTAACGGACAAGTTATTTCCTTCTGTCTGTCTTCTTTATTACAATGCGTCTCAAATTTCTTCGCTTTGAATATTTCCATTAAATTACTACGAAATGCAATTCTCTGTTTACTAATATACATATTATGACTCCTTTATTATGAATGTATTAAGCACTTTTTCTCCATTTAAAAAAAAAATGTAAATAATATAACAGAATTTCTTAAATTAAGTACATATAGTTCTATAATTACATATAAAATTTATATAATTATGACAAATATATAATATTCTGTGTCACATATAATAATTTTATTCCTTACACCAGACATTATATCGCTAATATTAATCGAGTTAAGTTATATATAATAGAAATTATATTAAAAATTTTGATCTATTTACAATCCGAGTGGATATCTCCTAGTTTCGGTACTTTAATAGCTCTACCTCGTATCGAATTAGCCTGCAGTCTGCGATCGTCGAGGATCGCGCTGCCAACGCCGGAGGGAGGCTGCGCGGATCTCTCCCTCGATCTCGATCTTTCCGTCGGCTGAGGACTCGTACTGTCCGCACCCCATGTAGGCCCGCCAAATCCTGACAGACTTCCCTCCATTTACGGATCTTTCTTACCGGTTTCATTTACGGTCTAGCGCGGGGAACAATACCGGCACACGATCCCGAAGATCCACGCGCGTGATTACGATCAAAATTGTCCGTGAAATCGGACGTCCTTAATTAGTCTTTAATTAGTCTTTGTCTTGAATGCACACCATTTATTTTCACGATATGCTTTATGTGGAGTATCGCACAAAAGTACGTAGTCATTTCTGAAATGCTTTCGTTGAATGTGCTTGTGTCCCTTAATTAAGTAATAGTATTTAGAAAGTTGGAATTAAACAGAGCGACGTAAAATTTTGAAGATTAAATTAATTTTTATTACATTTTTGATACGGAATTGTATTTATTGCTAAATTACCTAAATTGTTTTTCTTTCTACATTTTTTTAAACATAAAAACATCATTATGAAAGAAGTAATTTGATGATATCTACATTGAAAGAATTTAAGGAATACTTCACTAAATTCTATTTTGTCAAATATCAAGTTTTTAAACAAATTTATGAATCTCAAAATCTATCGTTTTCTTTATCTGCTAGGGTTTGAATCAAATTCTTCGTTCTGTTATCGACGCTGACTGAAGATAATGGCATTCAAACGTAGACTGCTGTGCTATCACAATTTAATTCGATTTCTAGTAAACACTGGTATAAACCGCGCGACTCGACATATATCTGTATTACATTCACGAGCTGCAAACTATCTTCTTTTTATATTTATCGTTAGTACAGTAATTAAAATTAAAAATTGTAATTTTCGTTAGCTTTTACTCTTAACTTATTAAAGAATTATAGACTCGTAGATCTTGTTATCTTGTATTAGAAAGCATATGCTGTCACTCACGCATTAAAACAGAGGAATCTAAAAGCGAGTTCGCTCTTCACTCGTAATTACACAGTTATCTTTCCAATTTCTCGATAAATTAAATTGGTAATTTCCGAGATTTGAAAGGTTGTCGAGAAATTCGGGCCATCATCCCAAGCGGTGGGCCTTAGCGGCCGGAAAAAAGTTCCAACGCGAACGCGAACGCTGCCTCTCGTGTCGCGAAAAAGGGTGGGCGGGGTGGGCAGGGAGGACGTGATTATTCGCACGTGCGCGTGTGCGTGCACGGAAATGAGGATTCGGTGCGCGGCGCGGCGCGGCCGGCGGCCGCCGGTCTCCCGTCTGGATATATATCGCCCGAGTGCGCTTCTCCCGTCCGGCAACTCTAGCGCCACGAGCAGAACCGTCGAGGCGCTTGCACCATACATACGCGGCACCGAACATTACATAACCGAGAACGATGAACCCAGAGTACAGTCACCCGGCACGCTCGCATCTTCGACGTGCGTCATGCGGAGAGCGCAGCGTGCATCGGCAACGGCGGACAGGCGCTCTATACCCGGAACTCCCGAAATCGAAGCGAGTCGTTTTCCTCTTTATGCCACGCCGCGACGTGTCGTGTCGTTGCGATTTATGATGCAGTTCTTAGTTATTGATACATAATAAATCATTGGCTGCACAGTAGAACTGGAATAACGGGTGCTTGTATGAGACATTAACTTTAATATTTATTAAATCTAATAAAATAAAATATAAATTAAAGTTTTATATTTGTTACAGAGTATTTCGCGATTTTTCGAGAACTTTTTATATTGTTTTTTAATTATTGTCTTATTTCATTATCTTTGGTTTGCTTCGTTAATTTTCTTTTCTACAACGACCAAGGTAGCTAACGTCACAGAAAAAGCTTTCTTCTATTTATTCTATAATTTTGTACCAGAAGTCTTGTTTGTATCGTAAAGCGAATTTTTATTCAATTTTTCTTACATGGCAGCGATTTTATCCCGGTTTCTTTTTTTTAGATTACAATTGTATATTCATTACGACAAAATTTTGTATAACGCGTGGCATCGCCTCTTCTTTTTATCCAATTTCATATACAAGTTGTTACTGTCAATATTTTACACAATGTCATGTCTCGCAAAGCAATAAAAACTTAACCCTTAAATGCCACACCTCTCAAGAATCTCGTAAATGACATGAGGTCTAAAAGATCCCAGCATGAAAAATGTCTC